TCTGCACCTGTACACAGCTGCTTCCCACCAGGTGCGAGCTCCTTCCGTCACAGACCACGTCCTGCGTGTCTGTAGCTACGCTTACACCCAGCCCGGGACCTGGCGCGTGGTAGGCACGCCCACGATCTGTGGAAGGAGCCACCGAACGTCTGAATAGCAGCGGTAGAGCTCAAATCGGGAAACTACTTCTTGACAAGCCATAGGAGAGGAATGTTTCCTTAATCTATAGAAGGATTCTTAAATATAAGTAGGCATTAAAAATACCTGGGAACTTGTTTAAAGTGAAAATTCTTGGTGTTAACTGTCACCAGGGGACTTGAAGGCATACCAAGAGGCGACTGTAATTACCTAACAGAGGGAACAAACTCCTAAACCACTGTTGAGAGTAACAAGGACCAAAGGGAAGAAACGGGCACAGGCGGGTAACAGGCACACTCCTGGCCACGCGAGTCACCACCAACTCTGCCTCTGTAGGAAAGTCATTTCTTGGCTCTTTTTCCTTACATCTAATCTCTGGACTTTTGATATCAGAATGACAATATCTGTTTATTTTAAGTCATTCACTTAAATGTACATAGAGAAACGCTGTTTCTCAGAATATTCTTCAGATATATACCATACTTCAAAACGGACAATACATAGGTTAAACCTTAGAAACTTCTTATCCGATAAAGCTCTTTGAAAAAAAAAAAGTTACTATGTGTTAGATATTGCAAAAGATAAGCTCTGGTTATAAAGCAGCAAGGCACCGAGAGAACTCACACGTTCCCTTTAGATTATTTCAAACAGAGGACATGAATTATAGGAAGTAAGACTTCAAGTGGTTAAGAAGAAAAGAGTTTTGCCTTTTAGAAGTTTGTAAAATGCCGGAATTCTAAACTTCATACACTGAACTCCTCGGGATAGTCTGATATAGTACACGCTATCTGTCGCTTCTCTACCCATTTGGCAAAGACTACACAGAAACAAATGTTACAGAGGCTCAAAAATGGAGACTTCTGGAAAAATGACCAAAGCCAGAAATAAAGCTGTACTAATTAGAACACAAATAATTCCATGGCCCAACCCGAATGTTGTGTGATGCTGAAAAGAGATGGGTTTCTAAGGCACACCATCTGTTTTACAGCTTTTGATTTGCTGTACTACAAATCTACCCGTACCGTTTGCAGTGATCTATTTAGCTGCTAGCTCATTTGCGCAATTACTTTAGGCCAGAAATAGTTATTGCACAGAATGATTTGAGAGAGCAACGCAGTCATAAAAGAGGGCAGATACAACCCATTTTTGAGAAGACTATTCTTCTGGCTCTTGAAGAAAAAAATATTATTCAAAGAAATGATTGGAAACTGCCAAAGGAAAATTAGGAAATTTAAAAGAAGAGTGATATCACTGTAGGTTTACGGTATCTAAACTCATCTAAACCTTCAGGGTCACCACCAACCTGTCTGCTGGCCTAATGGAAACTCCTCCTTCTGATCTTGACCCCTCAGCAGCATCCACCTGGGAGCTGCCTGCTCTTGTTTTCTCAAACATTTTTCTCACTTCATTTCCCTGGCACCACTCTCCTCACTTTCCTCCCCCCTCACCAGCTATTCCTTCTCAGCCTCCATCGCCAGCTTCTCCTCTACTGAATGATGCAGCATCTAAAAGCAGGGTGCTGGGGTCTCTTTCCCTTTCTATCTGTAGTTTCTTCCTAATTTATCTCTTCAGCCCGAAAGCTTTATATGGCATCTATATACTCCTGATTCCCAAATTCACAGTTTCAGACCAGACTTTTCCAGCTCCAGACTCATATATTCAATTATTTTTGATATCTCTATGTGGATGCCACAGAGGCATCTCAAACTTAGCATATCTAATGTGGGACTCTTGAGTCACCATCCTTCCCCCAGAAAAAAAAATGTATTTTTCTTATAATCTTCCACATCTCAGTAAATGGCACCATCATCCAACCAGTTATTAAAGTAAAACCTAGGAGTCATCCTTGATTCCTCCCTATCCTCACCCCTCACCTGACCCCTCACCAAATCCTGTCAATCACACCTAAAAAAATATGTCACATTTATTTCTTTTCAATTCTATTGCTACCATTCTGTCCAAGCCACCATCATCTCTCAAAAATACTACTGCAGTGTGGGCATATCGCATATCTCCAGGGCCTAACATAGTGTCTAACAAAGTAATAGGTGTAAAATAATTTTCTGTATAGATGATTACTGATCAGCAATATTCCTATGTGTCTTGACAAATCTCCAGTCTCAGTTCCCAGACATTTTCAGAGATACTTCCAGGCTAATTCATTTACTGAATCATTCACTCATTCAGTAATTATTTGAGTATTGTATTAATTGGGTCCTTGCATCTTGTTGCTCTGCCATCCTCAGCTCATGAATTCCACTTTATGGTCCAATATGGCTACTCAAGCTCCAGCCATCACATCTGCATTCCAGTCACCAGGAAAGAAGATAGGCATGAGGAATGTCATAGCCCCTCTATTTAAGGACACTTCCCAGAAACTGCATCTAGTTCCACTCAGATCTCATTGACGATCACAATAACTAGCAAAGACAGGATAACTAGCAAAGAACACTAGACAGCAATGTTTCCAGCTAAAAGTAAAAATCTTCATTACCATAAGAGACAAAGAGAATAAATACTGAGAGCTAAGTAGCAGCCTCTTCCAAAATTCCTGTTGTGACCAGGTAACGTTTGGGTACAGGGATACAAAGATCAGTTAAGATAGAGGGTCTCTGCTCAAGGAATGCAGTCTAATGGGGGAAAAGCAATATGTAAATGAATAATTACTCGAGACTTCAAGCTAGGCACTCTTGGGAGGCACTGGCTTTTCTGAGTCCCATAATATTCTCTGCATCCAAAGAGTTGAGGAGAAGTGGACGGTTCCAGTGCTTCATATCACTAAACTCTAGGGACTCTTCAATATTCCGCAGCATTAATAATGGACACTTCTCAGCTCTATTCTACTGGACTTGATGACTTCATGACATGAAGCAAAGCAAAGTTCATTTAAACCTCCATAAACATATATCAACAACTGTGGTCACGGTTTTAACAGTTTGAAAATACCCATTTCAGAAATGTATCAAGACTCAATAATTTTTAAACTTGTCAGAAGATGAGACAAATTGACTATTATTTAAAACAACTATATATAAGCTACAAGGCAAACGAAAAGAAATAAGCAATGGTAGAACGGCCAAAAGAATAAACGCAAGTACTGCTGTACTTACTGTAATCCACTGGTTATCGAGCAGCTCCTTAGCTGTGATTCTGTGAGCAGGGTCGACTTTCATGAGCTGTTTCAAAACGCTTTTAGCTGCAAATAAAGGAAAATCCTGAGTATCTTATTTATCTTAACTACAATTAATAGCATATAACTTCCCATTTCTTTAGAATTAGGTCTGTATGACATGAAAAAAAGATGCAAATTATAAAAGAAATATCATCAGTATAAATGGCTAAGAAATAAAGTTTAAGACTTATAGTGAGGTTTTATTGCCTGGATTACCAGGTTTATATTCTATGGTAAAAATTAACTAGATAATCAGCAAATTTCCTCCCCAATTTTTACTATGTATTTTCTGTTCTGGTTGGAAGTTTTGACTATATCAGTGAAGACGGTACTATTTCCACAAGTAAATAGTATTATTTCTATAAGTAAATTAATGACTAAACAGATATTTACAGTATTTGAATTACTAGCAAACTTTCTTATGTTGCGTGTATTTGCTTTAATAAATGATAACAGATCTGTATTACCACAGTCACTTATGGAGTCCCAAATCAGACCACTGAAGTGCAGTTCTCCCTTTCTTATCAACTCAAAAAGCCTCTCTTCCGAGCCTGCCAGAAAGGGTGCTTCTCCACACAACCTGCAACAAAGGCAATCATTCTCTTTAGATTGTTTTAAATAAAAATAAGGCAATTAAAAATTAAGTTTCCACAGGACTTGGAAGTAGTAGTGCTTCATATTTAAGAAGGACAGAAATGAAGTGATGAAGACACTTCAACATTTTGCTTACCTTGGTTCAGTCATCAATTCAAATGGAGACTACACCTAAAACCTATATAATTTTATTAACCAATGTCACCCCAATAAACTCAATAAAAATTTTAAAAATAATTAAAACATTAAAAAATAATGGAGACTGCAGCCAAGAAATCAAGAGAAGATGGGGACTTTAAAGGGCAGCAATGGAAGAATCAGGAAAGATCATCAAGAGCAAAGATGTGTCATGAGAGACCAAGGCTAAGGTCATCGACACCCTCAAATTCCCAGTCGCTGTGCACGGATATGAAAGTTGGACAGTGAAGAAGGCTGACAGGGAAAAGCATGATTCACTGGGAATATGTTGGACAAGACCTCGATGGATACTCTGCACTGCCAGAAAGGTGAGCAAATGGGTCCTAGAGCAAACGAAGCCTGACACAATGCTGATGGCAAAAGTGACAAACCTGAAGCTGTCCTACTTGGGACACATTAAGAGAAGACAGGGTTCTTTGTGAAAGACAACAAATGCTTAGAAAAATTGAAGGCAGCAGGAAAAGAGGGGAACCAAATATGAAATGGATTGACTCTGTGAAAGGAGCCATAGGCATGAGTCTACAGGAGCTGAGCAGGGCTGTTGGGGACAGGACATCGCAGACATCACTCACGCACAGGGTCTCCAGGAGGCAGCACCAACTCAGTGGCACCCAGCATACATACAGGAAGAGGCGGTGCCTCTCTGGATATGGAATGGAAGCAGAGGGGTTTTGTGAGATCAGTGCTAGGCGCTTATATACATTGAAACCTCCAGATCTGAAAATGACCCAAACCTCTTCCAGGTAGAGAAACACTAAGCCTAAATGGGGTTAAAATACAGGAAGGTGTATACACGGTAATAGCTGCAGACAATGGAGGAGATACCCTTTATTGTGAGCAAGGGTAATGCAATGCCTAAGGTACATGATCCAAACTAAACTTGTGGGAAAATATACTGAGTTATCAGTCTAATGAGAGTTATCAGAGTCTCAATGGCCATGTAAGAGTTTTACCCACAGTAAAATACTATACAAACGTTAGTAAGACTAACCCTAGGATAACCCTGGGAATGTCTATAGGCTCTGAGTCAAAGCTAAAAAAAATTCATTAAAATGACCACAACTCTTCAAAAATAGTCTACAAAATGAAGAGGGTCTGGATGAGAAAAATCAGATGGAGACGATTTGATCCCTCGGTCTGAAAGGGTGAAAGCTGAGCGTACATAAGACCAACATCAGTGAAACCACGAGCAGTCTGTCTAGACATGAGCTTGTTTGCACATTTTAGAGTAGAGGAACGATGTGGCATTAGAATCTTTTAAAAGGGTAAACTGTGCTATACTCACGAAGAGCATGGCAAGCCTATGCTTCAGTAGATAATCCAGCCCAAACCCACAGAGACACGCTTCAAAGTCGAGTTCAGTTCATGGTCACTCTCAACAAATGTTAGCCATCCCCACCACTGTCAGCCCGACTCCTGAGGGCAACGCTGTGTGCGACGACCAGACTCTCCCAGTGGCGACCAGACAGAAGCAGGGCCTGGACTCAGCACAGAGGCAGCTCTGTGTTTATTGGTCGACTCTCAAGATTGTATTTTTCCGCTTTGTCGCTGAACAAATAAAATGGTGCAACTCCATTGGACCCCCCATGCTGGTCCATTGTGTGCTTACGGACATGGTCTGCAGGCCTCTAACAGGCATGGAAGTTTCTATGGAATTTTTAGCTATTTTTCTTTAAGTTCTTTAAAAATCTTTCCCATGAACATTTTCCAAATAAGTCTAAGTTTGATAAATATTGTGCATGAAAATGACGACGATGATTTTCCTGGGGGGGGAGGTTGTTTTCATCCTAGTAGGTTATCAAACTGGGCTGGACAATGAAGCTTTTCATTTACCAACAGGTTCTTGTTAAGAGAGAGGTATTTACCGAATGGTTCCACAAATTCTCACTTTAATACTTTTTACTTCTCCAGCTCATTCTGACCCCCCTCTCTCTGATCTTACTTGCCTCACTATTATTTACTTTTAAAATGCACTTTTTTAAAAGCCAGAAAAATGGTCTTATGGACAATTACTACCTATAGGTAATAAGCATAGGCCAGCAAAAGCCCAGCTCATTGAGCCTGTTAATAACCAGGGACGTGCACATTTACCAATTTCTTAGCTGCCCCTGCACTGCCTGACTAGCAAGCAACTATAGCTCAAGGGCTATGTTTTTAAAATTCCATTTTTTCTGTCCTTTGCAATTTTACTTACACAAGAATGTATCTAATGGTTGGTCAATCAGCAGCATGTGAAATTTTATGATAGCAATTTTCTGCACATCCAGAAAAGGAAACCCAAGACATGAAAAATGCCTCTTATAGCTTCCCTATTATTTTCTGTTGCATTCATAGGAATCAAAGCAGCAGAGGATATACACATAAAGAGTATTTATGTTGATTTCACCTTGAGGAAGTATGTTATCATTGTCCAATTAAGTAGAAATAAATCAGGAGTAACTGATAAACAAGAAAATAACCCCCTGGAGAAGGTAATATGTTTGTGCCCTTGGTGAAGGAAATTATCTATAAGACCACTGGGCTCAGGCAGACTAATGAATAGGCTCTGATTAGCTAAGTGAGAGTCTACTGTAAAGGAAAAAAGGTGTCATTTGTGATGCTATGCAGCCATGCTCTGAAGCAGAAAAATTAAAATTATGTCTTGAAGAAAGAGAAAAAATGTTAACATATTAATACCCTATCACTTTCCTTAACACCAACTTCAAACTAAGAAGGCAGCAAACACATGAATTGTGTAATATTCGATTACACATATATTCAACTTGTGTTGTCTAGAAAGTCTTGGGAGTATAAAACACTAAGTTAAAATGGTCATATTTTTAATTAAAGACTAAGGTTTAGAATTTTTATGACACGATTCTAACTAGCACAAAACAATGCTCAAAACTTTGTGAATACATTTACACTCTATGCACTCTAAGCAGTTACAGCTGTGACCACATCGTCCCATTCCCTCTGCCTGTGTATCCCATTACACAGAACTACGAAAATGAGCCCACTGTGATGTCAATGCTTAGAAATGATCTGAAGAGGCAGTACGCAGGAAATCTTCAATATGACCGTAAAACTAATGTTGCATCAACAGAAAAATGTTCATATTCACCAAGAGGCAGAACTATGGTCACTAACTTTTCAGAACACCTCTTAGAAAATTCACTTTAATTCAATTTAACAAACATATTGAGCACTGACGACATGCCAACTATCGTACCAGACACCAGGGATGCAGAGACGAATAAGATGTCTGTCCTTCATGGAATTTAGAGCCAGGAAAATAGATGCAATATACATAATACAATAATTATATTACAATATTATAATCTAGTTTTTAAACAGGCTAGGAGAACACAGAGAAGCGAACAATGAATTCTATCAAATTTACACATGTGCAAACCTTCCTGGTTAAAATATTCTTATTTTATTATTTTGTTTTTCTTTCAATGTTGCTGTTTTGCACGCATTTTTCTATGTTACCTTAAATCCCCTGGGAAAGTATACATAATGAATGCAGTAACTCTGCCGAGGTAGAGTAGGTGTTAGGGAAATATAAGGTGCTAACGTTTGACCTGGGCACATCCAGGAGAGAGGTCAGTAGAGAAGAAAGAGAAGATTCTAGGCAGAAGGAACTACGTAAGCCAAGACCCAGAAGCATGAGATACAGGGATTCTGGGCGGAACCTCTGTCTGGTTAGTTTCCACCCGTCACACCTGCCTCTCCATAGGGCGGCTCTAGTACCAGGTCCCAGAACCTCCTCTACCTGTTGGGCTCTGCGTGAATCCCTGGAGAAAATACAAAGAAGCTTGGTTTGTAGCAAAGGATCGGGGAAGTTTTGTTTGTTTTTTAAAAAATATATCTTTATTGATTTCAGAGAGAGGGAGGGAGAGGGAGATAGAAACATCAATGATGAGAGAATCATTGATTGGCTGCCTCCTGCACACCCCCACCTCCTGCATGCCCCCAAATGGGGACCGAGCCGGCAACCCGGGTATGTGTCCTGACTGGGAATCGAACCCTGATCACCTGGATCCTAGGTCGACGCTCAACCTCTGAGCCACACCCGGCCGGGTGGATCGGGGAAGTTTTACAGCAAGTTTTTCACTTGGCTCTGATCATACAGTGCATTGTAGCATTTGCAGATCACTAAAAAGCAAAGCTGAAAGTTATAAATTTATAGTATTAAAAAGAATACCTAATCTATGTACCTGACAATGAATAAGAGAGCTTTTAGAGTGACTTCCCAATTGTTTTTCCAGTCACTTTTTAAAAACTATATTGTTTAGTTTTAATTTAAAATCTGCATGATTTGCCATAGCTGGTTTTGCTCAATGGTTAGAGCATTGGCCTGTGGACTGAAGGGTCCCGGGTTCGATTCAGACCAAGGGCAGGTACCTCAGCTACAGGCTCCATCCTGGGCCCCAGCTGGGGAGTGTGCAGGAGGCAACCAATCGATGTCTCTCTCTCACACTGATGTTCCTCCCTCCCCACCCTCTCTCTTTCCCTTCCACTCTCTGAAAAGCAATGGGGGGAAAAATATGTCCTCTGATGAGGACTAAAAAATAAATTTTAAAAAAATCTGCATGATTCTACTGTTAGAAATGATTCATTCATTTTTAACTGCACATTTATCGGGCTACTTACAACATGTACATGATGACACCTATGCTCCAAATGTCACACTGTTGGCTGTAGTCGTGGGCATTGATCACTTCAGGGGCTGCCAAACAAGCAGAAACAAAACAGTTTTAATAATACAATCAATGACTTTTAAATGCCTAAACACAAAGCCTGAGAAATGTGCTGATGTGCTGTAATGTACTCCCCCACAGGGAAAAAGAGAACCAACAGCAGATGTTAAATGAATACCGCACGGGCCTAACCACTGATGTCGCCGTATCCTCACTCCTGTCATTTAACTTGTAACAGAACGACTGCACAAACTGTGGAAATGGACGGCTACTCTCCACTCCTCTGGAATCGTTGAGAAATGGTTTTGTGAAGATCGTGGAGTTACAGTAGAAGACAACAGTGTCTCGGTTCTTTACAAAAATAGAATTAAATACGTGGATATAATTTAAAGCAAGCCCAGGATGTGAAAATCTGGATTCACTGAGAAACTAAGATAAATGGTTATAAGTCACTTTAGTAAAATAATAATAAAATCACAGCACTCCTATGACAGAATGAGAATTATTTTCCGTGTTTCCTAAATGAAAAAACTGAGACAAAGAGAGAGTTCCTGTGACATAACTGGATCAAGAAGCCAATTAGTCACAGCACTCCCGACTCCCCGACTGCTTCTGACTTTACACTGTGTTCACAATAGGGCTCCTTTAAACAATCTTTCAAAGCAGAACTTTTTTTTTTAACTTTAAGGTAGCACATTTTTTAATGATTAGATTTTTATAATGGCTGGTTTTTAAGAAAGTCACGTATGATATTTCAGGAATATGTCTACTGTACCTCTACAGTAAGGAATCAAATATCTTTCTTTAAGGAAAAAGGGAGAATAGAACAGCTATAAATATAAAAATAAAAGATATGTATATATTTCAATAGAACTTTAACATTTATAATATGCCTTTGTATAAGTTACGGTATTTACATTAATTATGTTAAGCATTTTGTGGGATAGGTATCAGGCATCTGACTCACTTTGTCAGTGAGGAAACTTAAGTTTCAGTATATTAAGTGATTTGCCTAAAGTTACAAAGGTGTTTTTATTTAGGACAGTTTCAATCTCCCTCACCTACACACACACACACACCCCCTTTTTTTTTAACCCTCACCGGAGGATAGTTTTTCCATTGCTTTTCAGAGAGAGTGGAAGGGGGAGAGAGAGA